CAAGCTTTTGCAGAGTTCTCCACTGTGAAGCCGTGTTGTAGAATGGAACTCGTTTCAATAGTGCTGTACGCAGCCTGCTACTGTTGAGAAGCCAGACGCAGTTCGCACAACTTCGCGTTGGCTCAAGACTGCTGGCTCAAGACTGAGCTGGCTCAAGGCTCAAGTGCAAAAGGAACCGCTGCGCGAGCTCTGTTTTTCACAAAGAGCACAGCAGACTATTTTTAGCTTGGAGTGAAAAACTATCTAAGCACATTGATTGAACAAAGTCTACGTTCTTGGATGACGCAAAGCTTGCTTCCATCCCATAATACAAAATGGAAAACACATTCCACATTTCTAAAGACCACACTCTTACTGGCAATTTTCTATCTGGGTCTCACTGGTTCGAGTCTGCCCGAGTCCTCGTTTCCTGGTCCGAATCCACACCACGTTTAGGGTCTGTAAGTTGCAGACTCCAAAAAAACAGATATTTTGGATTAGCGCTATCACAACTGGGCCCTAGGTCCGCTAAGCGGCTCCCAAACTGGGTTTTCCTTGCTGGGTCAGTTCATAGCGCCGGTAAAAGAAGAGTTTTTGTTTATTGTCATCACCACTGTCTCTGTGGGCCAAAAATAATTCAAGCCAGGTACGTCCGCTAAGTATGTTTTGGAGCAAAGGTGTGAGACTCAGTGAAGCTGTTAGAAGTTTTGCTTTGGGTTCTCATAGAAGCTCTAATCCCCAAATGTGAGAACCAACCACCTGAGAAGTCACGCCCGCTAATAGTTTTCACGTTGTTTCACGCTCGGACAAGACTGCGCCGTAAGATCCACTCCGCCGTTTCCTTGGCTATGTTCTCTATGAGCAGTGCTCCACCTTGACAACTTCTCGCCGGATGCTGGAACGGAGATTTTATCATAATTTCAACGGACCAAGTTGCACTGAGCCGCACCGAGCTTGAGTGGCAATCTACCGTCTTTCGGAAAGGCAAGTCCGACAGGCAAGAAGCGCCACAACTTCTTGTAGACGATCTACTACAGTCGAGCGAAGGCCTGCACAAGAGAGAGTATGGTAAGCGTGTTTGTTATGCAGTTTGTTTGTTTACTCGGAAAAGTTTCAGCTTTTAGCCTTTGCACGCAATACGCTGGGGAAATTTTATATAATGGAAGTTTGTATGCCAAGGAAATATGTTTTCACCGTAAAGTTTCCCAAGCTCTACGTGTGCAGAAACGTGAGTTTCCGCGTTTTGGACTGTAATTTTGGTGCTTGTGGAAAGTTGTGATGTTTTTGAACATCGCTTCGGTGCTTTTGATTTGAATTCTGATGTTGGCTCCAACGCTTCCGTTTACAGCTGGTTTTTGCACGGCATTATTTGCAGTTGCGCGTAATTGTGTTTTGACGCAATTTTTCGCAAACTACGTTGCTGTTTACAGTTGATGAGTTTGGCAGAAAGACAGCCAATGTGTTACGTTTTTCAAGTTCCATCTTGGTCACCTGGTCCTCCGAGCAGAGGTTGGCCAGTCACGCTATTGGGTCGAGCTCGGCTTGTCAGTAGGTGGTTCATTGCATGTCATGCCACCGGTCAGTCGTTCATGAGAAAAGGCAGGCAGTGGACCACCCATTCACATAAGCAGCGAGAATTTATGATTATGGTTCAAGGCAGCTCATAGACAGGACGGCCAATAGGTCAGATTTTCGATCTAATCTGTTGCGGGTTTGTTGGTAAAACCACGTCCTTCCTTGTGCCATGCAAGCTTTGGACGTGTTCCCGTCGCACGCTTTTCAAGTGCGAGGTTGGTGCCCAAGTGCCAGTGGTGAACGCATGAAGCTGTTGAACATCAGACTGTCACATGCCCCAATCGGGGCATCTGGTGAAAGTCTTCGCATTTCCGACGCCATTGACTTTCAAATCGAGTGTCGCGTTCCCGTCATGTTTCAGGATTGGAGAAGAGCTTTCCGCGTGGCTGGCTCAGCAAAAATCAGGTCATGACACGTCGCATGTGTTGAGAGTCTGCTTCTTCAGGCTTGCCAAGCCGAAACAAGAGCCTGGCTCCAGCTTGGCAACCTTGGATTTTTGGGGTCCCACTTTTGGGCACACTTGGCTTTCTGGTGTACGAGGCCAGCTTTGACCTTGAAGGTCTGGGTGGGTTCAGTCATTCAAGCGTGCCACGTTTTCTCTTTTCAGGTGCCTCGTGTCCACAGGTGGCCACGAGGGGTGCGCCCTCAACCCAGCATTCGAACTTGTGGTTGCTCCGACCTGCATGCCTTGCACACGAGCAGTAGGAGTGCTAGTGCGCAAATGCAGAGACACCTCCGTCATGCAAAGGTTGTTCAGGTGGCCATGCAACTCAACACAAATGGAGCAAGGGTCACTACACCGAGTCACCAGAGCAATTCAATTTTTATACCTAGTACACAAGATATCACGCGATCTCATGTGGTCAAGGCATCAGTGCATGAAGGGCAAGTCCCATACGTGTGGAGTCACGACATCACCACTACTAGGTCAGTACCGCAGAGCGCTATGGGATCTGGAGTTTAAACCACCAAACACTGCAGTCACCAGACAAATGCGATCGGCTTTAGTCGCTTGTAGATGCGGTTGTCTTTGCGAACGCAGCAGGTAGCCCGAGCATCGTCACCACTTGTTATTCGAATTATTCACTTCGGTCCGTGTGCTTGTACTTGCCTGGGCAATCAGCCCGATCGCTTCGGCCTTTGACTGTGCGAGTGTGCTTCCATCCTGTTCGGGTGGAATGAGGCCGTGGCTGGCGACGTCAGGTCTCCAGGATGTTTGGCATCGGGGTCTTAATGGGACTGTGGGATATAGTTGCAGGGCCGGCGGGGGTGCAGAAGAGTGGCAGTAGCTGCAGCAGAGCGACGCAGAGCAGGAATGTGCTGTCCCGAGAGCAGTACATGCCGAACGAGCCTGGCAAGTCATCCGACGAGGCGCAACCCACGCGGTGACCAGGTACTGTCTTGAAAGCGGTTCGTGCCGCCGGCTACCCCCTGCACTGCCACGGTGGTGATCAGTTGCAACCCAGAGCTTGAAGCCGCAAGCCTGCTCGAAGATCCTTGGTTACCTAGTTTTGGTGTTTCTTGATGGTTTGGAGAGGTGGCCTATGAGCAGTTGTGCACTCGCTGGAACCGCGAAGAAGCAGAGGCCCGAGGTTGGCATGAAATGCCTCAGCACACCTTCAGCTCACCGCCGGTTAGTGGTTTGGAGGGGTGTTGGGCCTTTGCGCACGAGACTGCTGAAGCCAGCACTTTCCATGTCAGCACCAGGAGCACTTGCAGACTGCAGGGCCGTCTTTGCGTAGACCTGGCAATCCGGATCACATTGTGTGTTTCGGGCTTTTGGGTGCATTCTCTTATCACTCGGAATTCCACCACCCGGCAGGCTGTGCAGCGCTGCAAAAGAACCCTGCAGAGTGACAAGACCACGCGCGAGGACTGAGGGCTTTCGGCTCTCCGCGGTGGATTTGTGGAGCTGTGTTCCGGCCGTTCCTGCCCCAGGCAAGTAATCCAGTTTGGAGCCCCTGTGTGTGTGTGTGTGTGTTTGCGCGCGCGTGTGCGTGTGTGCGTGTGTGTTTCCGTGTCTTTCGGGTACTGACTTGCTCGTGCTGGTTTCGTTTCATCAAGCCTTCCGGTTTGCGTTCCCACGTACAATTCCTCCTCCAGCTGCCTGCACGAGTAAGTCAGAACGGCTGTTGAACTCTTGAGGACAAAATCCTGGCCTTGAACGAGCTAGAGTACTGGGCCATGAGGCGGCTGCACTTGGTAGGATGAATACTCCGTTTGCATCTGTCACTATGCCTTGCAGCAGGCGGGGCGGTTACGATGCAGAAGTCATCCTGATTGGCATGCTAAAGTGCCGCGCCTAGCAAACTCCAGCATGTTTGGCGGGCATTGAGCTCATCAAATCGTTCCTTTTGTAGATGCAGCAACTAATGCAGCTGCCTGTCGTTTTGGCCGGTTATGTTCGGGTGCACCAAGGGAAGCAGACAAGGATGTTGCAGGGCAGGCGAGCTGCAGCTGCGCATCTGACAAAGATCAGGCAACAGGAAAGGTAATAGCATGAAACGAGTTCTGGCAAAGACAGGCACACATCAGTCTGAAAAAGACATGGGCAGCGCATTTCAACATGTGGGTGAACAACGACGTTGACCATGGTGCGAGTGCTTAGTTGCACCTGGCTGTGTGGAGGAAGTGCTGTTGTCCACCTGTGTTTCCAGGGTCTGTATTGAAGGTCGACTGCTGATGAAGCAGAAAAAGCTGGATGAGGCTTTCAAAATCTTCGACAAGGTAGGGTGCGATGATTCACATGCTCAAAATTCTGGAACAATGGCCACGTTGCAGTGTCAGCCCTTTCCCTCTCTTCTGGGCGCTTATCAGGTGGCCTACGAAAATCCTCTTTGGGGGGAGGGATACCACCTTCGAGCGAAGTGCTACAACGCAATGAAGGCCCCTAACCCTGTTCATGTCATGATGAAGCTATGGGTATGACTGCCGCCACACTGGCATTCACATAGGATAGCGTGGGTTTCAGTGGACTCGATGTAGAACCTGGGGAAGCCGCTGCACTTGCGGGCTGGCTGTCGCCAGGATGTGCCAAATACAATCGCAGATCTCCGGCGGGCACTCGAGCAGCTCGGCGTGTTCTTTCCCTGCCTGTCCTGGCAATTTTCTGATGCTGATGCAGAGGAGGAGCATTCTTTGCTGAGGTTCTGTCCCAATAACTACCTTGTCATGGTCGAGCTCGGCATCACTCTTATGGACCTCGTTTTCATGGTTCTGCAAATCTTTGATGCGAGACACTCTCGGGTTGAGGAAATCAAAAGCTAAACAAACCTTGGAGAGAGACATGAGAATCAGTGAGGACAAGAGCCAGGAGTACGAGGAAGCCGCAGACTTGTTCAAGGTTCGAGCACCATGCACGGAGAGAGTGTAAGCTGCCGGAGACCCTCGTCAATGTTGAGCTCTTGTTGTCCGACTTGTGTTGGTCAGCGCGCCATCGACCTCTGCCCTATTCTTCCCGTCGACATCTTCCTCCGGCAGCTCTTCGAGAAGGCGGGATTCTTATCAAGCCGGAATCGACGGGGGACCCCTGGGCCAAGAGGCGACGCCGAGGCATCGCTTCAGTTCTAGGCCGTAGGCGTGAGCCCACCGAAGTTTTAGCTCCGGTTTCAAAGAGATGCTTCGGTTTGCACGACAAGCTGAAGAGTGTGGACAACCTTCGCCACTCACAGGGTCGGTCAACCCCTCGATGTGCAACCCCACTTCGAGCTTCCGACTCTGGCAAGAGTCCACTTGGTGGGTACAACTGTGAATGAACAGCTGCAGTTGTCTGAGGTGCCCCATCTCAAGGAGGAGTGGGAGGCAGAGAAGAAAGCCAACCAGTTCTCGCTTAATGCGCGGGCACACAGCTCTTGCGATACTTGTAGCGATGATGATCAGGAGGTGCCTTCACTTGCTGTTCTGGGCACCATAACGCTGCTACTGTCATCTTCCTCCCGCTGTTGCTGGTGACTCTTTTCTTGTGTGCTTATTGTTGTTTTTTTTCTGTCAACCCCTTTCGCCAGATAATATCCCCTGGCAACAGTGTCACCTTGCACCACGAAGCCTAACAGCTGAGATTTGAAGACCTTTGACACGGATCGGAGTTGAAAGCAAGATGGAAAGCAGCGCCGAGGAGCCCCCGGCGCGGCTGCTGCCCGAGGCTTGGGTGGAGCGCTTCGAGGCCACGGAGCGGCCCAACCAGGCATTTCTTAGGCCCGGCTTGAGCTGCACCAGCTCTCTTTGGAAGGGCAAGCTCTCAGCTGCCAGGGTCGGTGCTGAACTGGAGCAGTGGTTTGCCGAGGCCATCGAAAGAGTGTTCCATGCTTGCGCGCTCTGCCGAGCAGAGCCCAGGTAATGCAGCAAGTTTGTACGATGTTAATCGAGGGTTAACCACTTCCTTGCAGGTTCGGCGGCACAAGGCTGAGCCATCAATTCAGCGCAAGCTATGGCAGAGCCGGCTTGTATTCAGCTGTTGATGGTTTGGTCCCAGCGGGCTCTATCAGTACATGAAGCCTTCATTGCTGCACGGACAGCCTTTGCACTTCAATGGTCACAGAAAAGCCAGTAGAAGCATGTTTGATGCAGATAAGATTTCATGCTTCAGCTGAATCCTGGCGACTGTTTGACCTTCGCTCCCCTTGGGGGCGAATCGGCTCATGCAAGGCGGTGGTTGCACCGCTGTGCAAGTGCCAATGCCCCGTGCCAGGAGCGTTCTGGTCATCAAGTGGGATCCAGACAAGTGGCCCAAGGAGCTCAAGTCCTTCACCACCCAGGCCGGGCCCGTTGTAACAAGGCTTGACCTGCCAAGGCCCCGGCCCCTGCGGTATCCTGCGGTTGCCGCAGGTCCATGAGGCACTCAAGGCCCGGCGCGAGCGCGAGCTCGCCAAGGCTGTTGCGCCTGCGGACGCCGGGAGCTCGGCTCCAGCTCTGTGCCGTTTTTTCCCTTGAGGCAGAGGAATCTCTGCTGGAAGTTCTTTGGTCCTTGCAAACTCTTCCCATTATTCGTTTTGCCCGGTCGCAGGTGAAGAGTAGTCTCCGCATCAGCGTGGAAATCGCAGGTTCAGACGCACAAAACACCGAATGTGGGCTGGGGGCGAGGGGGGGGGCGCCGGGGGTTCGCCTCACCCGCCCGCTTTCCGCGCGGGTTTGGAAGCCAAATTCCCATTTGTTCTTGTTTTGCTAGGTGTTCCAGATGCTGGTATCATGTTCCTTGATGTTCTTTGTGATGGCAATCGTTCTCAGAAACTGCAATGATTGTTGGCCATGTAGGCAGGTCAGCACTGGGTTTGGTGATTTTCTCCCAAAACTATTTTACCCTGAGGTTTCGCTAGCGCTCCTTCGAGGGTTACGGCTTGCCATCCACTAGTTCGGCGCACATTGCACGCACTTCAGATGTCGGAGTTTCGTGCCTCCGATCCGGGGAGGGGGATGTGGGACGAGATGTCTGGAAACTAGACTTGTTTTTTTTCTAAGGTGAAAATAGAAGCTGTTGTGAAGAATTTGTTTTTTTTGCCCGACTTGGCCTTTTGACGCATTCACCATCTCCGACGTGACGACATCATCTCTTGTGCACTCCGCCCCCTTCGAAGAGTCTCAGGCCGAGGAGTGGAAGGACCAGGACGAGCTGGAGTTCGAGGAAGCTCAGGACGAGTATGACGAGGACCTTTCGACCTTCCGGGGGGGGTTTCCAAGGCCCTAAGTGGGGCGAATGCGAGCAGGTGGCTCAAGACGGAGGTTTAATGATCACTGGTGACGAAGAGGCTGCAGTCTCCAAGCCACGATGCTGAAGCCGTTGGCTCTGCACGAAGGATGCGGTGGCTTTCCTTCGTCAGCTCCGAACGCAGCGGGCACGGTGACGACACCAGTGCAAAGTGCATCATCGTCCCCGCATTTAGTAAAATCTGGCCTGGGGCAAAAGGGCAAACTTGCACTGTCCAAGCTGCTAGCGGACCGAAAGAGAACGATGTCAAGGGAACCATGTTGTCATCACTGCGTCTGCTGACGACGTCGTCCTTCGCCTTGCAGATCCGTGCTTCAACATCGTGATGACAGCTCAAGTTGTTCGCATTGTTCAAGTAACTTTGCTGTCAAGACTGTCCCGGCCTACCAAGTCCCGAAGCCTCAGCTCCACATGCTAAAGTCGAAGCTAGCTGGAGCCACAAGACACCATGGCATCCCAAGCCTGGACGACAGAGCTGAGGCTGGAGCGCCTGGTCCAACTAGGGTGCTGTGTGCTTGATGCTCCGTCAACTCAGAAATGCTTTTTCCTTGCATTCTTAACACATTGTCATCAAACCGCTAAACAAGGCAGAAGTTGCAGCCCGCTGGAGCATCTAGAAGCTCGGAGTCAGAATCCGAAGCGGGCTGCCGTTCGCGCCGCGCGGAAGGCATGGACCGAGGCCCGGGTTTCGAGGCTGAAGGGGTTCCGGGGCGAAGGGGTGTCGGGCAACAGTGCTGGTGACACCGATAGTCCTGGCGGTTCTGGGTGGCGCAATAAACTATACTTTTATTCTCGCAAATTCCTGAATACTTCTGATCCACTCGTAGTGGCTTTGCCATTGAGGCTATAATCATGCTTTTTGTCGTTTCTATTTCTTTGAGACTGCGTTCCTTGTTTTTGATTTGTGTTGCTACTACCACAGCTAGGCTCAAGGTGCAGCGTAGCAGCCCCCGCTTTGGAGGTTTGCGTTTGCTTTCTTGTGCCAATTTCTCGGTGTAACCTTCTTCTCAGTACTTTCTTTTCGGCGACACACTCGGACGATGGAGAACGCGCAAGCCATGGATACGCAGCCGGCGTCCAGCGAGCAGCTGGCAGAAGCTGTGCTGCCGGCGGAGGAGGCAGCAGAAGAAGCTCCGGCGCCTATTGCTGCGCCACCCGGAGTACCAATGAAGGCTCCTCCCCCATCGCTCCTTACAAAGGAAGAGCCAAAGGAGACTGC